TCTGAGCATAAATCCGCCTTTAGTCTTCGTATAGCAAACAAGCCTTCATCTGACCAGTGAAACTGAACCATCTTTCTTCTCCTGCTAAGTCTTGTCAGGGTCGCAGTGGCGCCGGTGCCTATCTCTGGCAGTCAATGGACGAGAGGCGGGGTACATCTAGGACAAATCGCCAGTCTTTCACCGGGCTACTCAGAAACACACAAAGACAAACAACCATATACACAGACACTAAAAACACCTGAGGAAAATTTAGAGAAGCCATTTACTCTAATTGGACTGCGGGAGGAAGCTGGAGTACCCGGAGAGGACCCACTCATGCACGGAGAGAACATGCAAACTCCATGCAAAAAGGCAGGGAATCAAACCCAGAACCTTTTTGCTGCAAGGCAACTGTGCAAACCCACTTCTCCACCATGCGGCTTAAAACCGAACCAGATTTCACAGATTCCTTGGAATAGATTATCTTTAACAACATAAGGGTGATAACCACTTTAAAACACTATTCTGTATTTTCTTTTGCTGTGTTTTAAGTGTTACCAGAAAGCATCAACCAGAGGCATCTGTAGGTGGATAGCATTCTTTCTAGATGCTGTGATTAATCTGTTGCCATCATGTTTTCATTCCCCACCAGGAAATGGTAAATAAAAGGTTATCTCTGACTTATGCTGAAAATGTTTCTCTTTGTTTAGAGACTTCAAGCTCCAGAACATCAGACATTCAGCAAACTGTATTGGAGAAAAGTACAAGAAGGTGGTGTACACGCTCTACAAAAATGAATCATTCACTGAAAAGTCAGAAAATAAGCAACGGAGGACTGAGCTGGGCATCCTGGGTCCGGTTATCAGAGCGCAGATCAGAGATGTGATCACGGTGAGACCATGATTATAGAACTCACAACCTTCATGTTTCATTTAGATGCAAGCCGACCTAAAATACAGAATATTCCTAAACCTGTTGCTGACATAATGTTAAACAGGACAGTAGGCACTGTGCGATCATTTCAGCCCGATTAGATTGTGGCTTCATGCTCTCCTTTTTTTTTCCACAGATTGTTTTTAAGAATTTGGCCTCAAGGCCTTATAGTATCTACCCACATGGCCTGACTGTGGAAAAGTCAGAGGAGGGAGTGAACTATCCAGAGGGAGGTACGGGTTATTTCTGAAAGAACACCGAACAGATTTGATTTATATTACATTCAATTGATGGAGGTTTTGGTAACATGATCACCAGGAAACCAATCTCACGCCGTTCAGCCTGGTGAAACACGCACCTACGTGTGGAAAGTACTCGAGGAGAATGAACCGTTGGAAGCCGATCCTCGATGTCTGACACGGATGTACCACAGTGCTGTGGACGCACCGCGGGACATCTCATCAGGACTGATAGGACCCATCCTTATCTGCAAGAGTCAGTCTCTGGATGTCAGGAATGTACAGGTAAAAACCTGCATGTTTTCACTTAAAAAAACAAACTTGATTAGTCCAATAAGAATCCAACAAAGACATTTGTCCAACTGCAAACATTTACCCAAATAAAAATAAAAAAAATAACTTGCAATGAGAAGGACACTGGGAAGAACAAGTTTAACACCAAGAGTTTTATTCTGAAATATGTAGATGATGGAGCCACAAATGTGGGAAGAAATCCAACAACATCACTGACTAAGATCCCAATGAAAGAGCACTAAAAGAAATCACACTGGAAATGACTGTGTGTGACACAGGTGATTTAATAAGAGTGCACTGTACGATATTTTCAATCTTGCACGCAGCTACAGCTCAAATTGTATAATGAAACTGCAGGGTTTAAAGGTTCTCAGCTCACAATGTTTGTTCTCACGCTGTGCGACCCGACGTTCTGATGCGATCTACCTGCTCACGCTCTACGTCTACAACCCGGGTGGGACTCAGCTCCGTAGTGAGATGG